AGTGTTAGTCCCTTTGGCACAAGTTTACTCAATACTGTAACACAGTTGGTTCATGCAAAGTAATGACTCCCAAACTCAAATCACTGTCCTGAACCATGGAAACTGAATGCCAGTACATGTGGGACTATTGGGGGGCAACCTGTACCTGTTTTTTCTCTCTAAATGTCACCCACTTTCATCTATAGAATGATCTGAACTTATTACAATTTTTTCACAATACAGTAGATGAAGATGGTCTGAGTTTTGTTGAAAATGCAAAGTTGTGTTTAAAGGACATGTGCTTTGAATGTCAAGGTTTTAATATGTAAGAATCAGTTTCATCCCATTTCCCAAAGAGGGAAATGGAATGAAAAAAACACGTGTGGAAAGCAATAAATTTTCATATAACAGCAGTTTTTGTATAAGAAAATGGTGAAACATTGAAAATATTACTATATTTTTTAGTATTTTTATTTTGCTTAAATGTTTATGAATAAGTCACAAGGAGAAAGTAATCTAAAATGCCAAAGGAATTGTTAGACTGTAAAATAAGTGAAAGAAAATGATGTACAAAGTTGTACAGACTCAGACAGCATGATCTAACAATCATTTTAAACCAGTCCTGTGATAATTGGTGGTTAGATTTAGTTACATATTAGTGAATTTTGTTTTTATTCTGTAGAATTTTAGTCATGTCCTATATATTCTCTTGCGTAATTGATAGAGCAAGATCTTTAATACTGAACAATAGGCAGAAATATACACTGTTGCATATACTTTTTGTTGTTGTTTCAGAATGTATTTTTTTAGTTACATTTAGTTTGTGTTAGAAGCAAAAATGTCTTGCCAGAATACTAGATCAGAATTATTTATCAATGTGTTTTCGGCATAATTGATGCATTATTTGTATCCTTATTATGGTTTATAAGAACATCAATCTGTTGAACATGTTACGTATTTTTTATGATTTACAGATCCTTGAGACAAAGAATACACCCAATTGTATTTTTATCATGTAAAGGATCCTTACTGCAGAGGTTACAGTAATTTGTATGATATATTTGAGTTTAAGAGTAAATGTACACAAGGAAGTTGTATTGAATAATATCCTTCTTTCAAAACAATAACTTTTTTCTTTAACTTGAATTGGATAACTTGAGTCATGACTATCATTTGTGTTACACTTATAAATGTGCAGCAGATTGGAAGGCAGTGATTATTTTTACACAAAAATAATGATATGAGATAATGGAACTTTGATCATCATCTTTTGTTGACTTTCAAGAAAATAATACCCTTGGATCTGAAGGTTACATATTTGTTTATACATACAATATATGTGTGACAGATTTTATTTATTGACAATAACATTTTATTTGCCTGTCTTGATCATGTATTTCTGAGAGAGTATGTACAGAACAGAAATACTTACTTCAAAAATTACTTTATGTGACTAGATAGAACTATATGCTTGTCAAATAATGAGAGTACACACAAAAAATCTTATATTATAACAGAAGAAAGGCACTTAATGTGGTAGACAAAGTGTAGTAAAGATAAATGAGAAGTTAGTAATTAATATTTTAGTCCATGAATGAGTTGCTTAGTTACCACTCTTCATGTTTGATAAATGTTACAGCACTTTTGAAACTGCAGCAAACATTTGTAAATGTTATAGAGTATAGACAGCATTATTAATATGTGATTTTAAAGTGAACAGAACATTAAAACATATACAATATAAAGAGTCAACTGACATCACATAACTTGATATAAATGATATATGAAAATACATTTACTGCTTTACTACCAATGGCACACTTCATTAAAACACTGCCCTTAAAAGTCACAACAGCAGTTTCGGTTAAAGCATATTAGTACAGAAACATAACCCCTGACATTAGAATGGCACTGCATTTACCATAATGTAGGAGCAGATTGTAAATAATGGTGTAATAGGTATTTTTAGGTAAAGTACTGGGCCATTCATGCTAGTGAAGCAAGAAACAGCATACTAGTAGAAGCGTTAGGAATACAGTAATAGACAGCATGCTGTCAGTGCAGCAGATGGCAGAGCTCTGCGATGTAGGAGAGAGCCATCTGGAGGGTGTCGTGCTTGGAGAGGCGATGCGACGCCCGCGGTAATGTCGCGCGAAGACGGTCGAAGGCCACGTTCAGGCTCGTCATCCTCTTCCTCTCGCGGGCGTTGGCCGCCTGTCTCCGCCTTCGCCGCAGAAGCTCCGACGAAGAGGGCGGTTTCAGCGATACACTCCACGGCCGGACGTCAGAGCTTTCATTCTTCGAAGGGTGGCTTGTGTTTACTGCGTCTGACCGTCTCAAAATATTCGATGGGGTCATCTGGTAGCAATTGTACTCTGAGTCAACATAGCTTCCTAAAGTCTTCATTTCAACAACACTGGTATCCTGTGTGTGGGGGACGACGTAACTTGGTGTAGGAGTCGCTGGCGTGGGGCTTCGGGAGCGATCGCCTGGACCCTCATCTAGGGACGTCCTGTGGGCC